TGGTTTAATCGAGTTTTCTTCGCACGTGACTGTACGTGCCCAGAGCGCGCACGTGACGTCATCACGTCGCTGCAGACGTACAGGAAGCGCCGCGGTTCCAGTTTGACGGCCGGACGCGCTGCTCGTACACGTCCCCGTACACGTCCCGGTACCGGACACGGTTCACGTAAACAGTGCGCGCTTCTTACGGAATGGACAGCGCGCGCACGCGCTCACCGCGGCACTTTTCCGCCTGAACCGCGGACAGAAAGCGTTTTACGAGCGTCTTAGGAGCGTTTTACGAGCGTTTTGGAGCTGAGGGGAGCGGGACACGTCCGCCCCGCCGCGCCGCGTTTTCTCCCCGATGTGGCGCAGAGTTTTTCCGCACAGCGCGGATGGAGACGAGCGCAAAGGTGTGAGAGCGCGGCGGTGAGAGCGTCACCGCCCGCGCCCCTCTGCGGCGGAGCGGATCTGCCGCGCTCCAGGAGTTGAGACGCGTCACATCCTAAAGAGGAACCATGAAGAAAGGAGAGAACCCGGAGAACCCGGAGAACCCGGAGACCCGAGAGACTCGGGAGACTCGGCACAAGAGGAAGCTGAGCACCGGGGAGAGCGGCGGAGACGCGGCGGGAGCGGCAGGAGCGGCACCGCGGCGCAGAGCTCAGGTACACGGTCATGTCTGCACCTGTCTGCACCTGTCTACCCCTGCCTGCCCCGGTCTGCACCTGTCTGTCCCTGCCTGCCCCTGTCTGCACCTGTCTGTCCCTGCCTGCCCCTGTCTGCACCTGTCTGTGTGACAGGTGCAGACAGGTGAACCCCCCTCCAGGTGTCAGTGTCTTGCTCCACGTGAACGTTGACGTCTTCAGTAAAACAACAGAGTGTCCGGACGGTGCAGCGTCCAGTCCCTCCCAGGACCTGGCAGAAGGTCGAGTACTTGAGTACTCTGTGGTTGGGTACTCGAGTACTCTGCACTGCTGTTGGACACACACACACACACACACACACACACACACCCTCCACTGACTGAGAGATCTCTGAAATGTGTCTTTTGATTTTTATAGGATGTGTCCTCTCCTCGTCCTCGTCCTCTTCTTCTTCTTCCTCTTCTTCTTCTTCTTCTTCCTCTTCTTCTTCTTCTTCTTCTTCTTCCTCGTCTTGGTCTTAAACGGCTTCTTCTTCTGTTTTGCAGGACGTCTCTGCTCCTCCTCCTCTTCTGTTCCGGAAGCTGTCTCACCCGGACCTGTCTCCATCCGCCGCCAAAACCAAGACCAGAACTAAACCAGGACTGAGCCGCCAACTGAGCCAGGACGAGACCAAGACCAGGACCAGGACCATGACCGGTAAGACCCGAACCAGGACTGAACCAGGACTGAACCAGGACTAAACCAGGACTGAACCAGGACTGAACCGGGACTGAACCAGAAGAAGAAAAGATGCGCACACACATCAGCCAAGTGCAGGTGCGGGTCATCAGTGTCACACATTGACATTGATGACCACAGTCACACATCAATGGATATAAAAATAAAAACACACGTGTGCACAACATCATCTACAACAGAAGAACAAAATTTGACTTTATACAAAATATATCTGTACAAAAACAGATGATCTTACAGCTGTTCAGATGATCTTACAGTTGTTCAGATGATCTTACAGTTGTTCAGATGATCTTACAGTTGTTCAGATGATCTTACAGTTGTTCAGATGATCTTACAGCTGTTCAGATGATTTTACAGCTGTTCAGATGATTTTACAGCTGTTCAGATGATCTTACAGTTGTTCAGATGATCTTACAGTTGTTCAGATGATCTTACAGCTGTTCAGTGGAGATTCTAAATCAGAGGAGCTTAAAGAGACGAGAGCCACAGGAGGATCTCCAAACCTGCTGAGAACATCAAAAACATCAAGAAATGGAGATTTATAAAAATGATTTTATATCAAAGTTTAAACCTGCAGGAGTCGCAGTGGTGAGTTTCTGTTGGACGTTTCTCGCTGTAATAATAAAAGTTTGTGATTTCTGCCTCTAGAGCAAAATGTCCAAACTCATTTTGTTCCGGGGTCGTGTCGTGTTTGATCCAAAGTGTCCGGATCAGAAAACTCATGTCATATAAACCCCAAAAATAACAAGAAGTTCAAATATTTGTGCAGAGAAACACAAATCTATTACACAAATCTTTTTTAACTGATGAACTCTTTCTTTTACAAAATATTATAATATTATGAACAACCTGAAACTTTAAGAAAAATACAATTTCAACACAAAGTTTGAACATGAACTTGTCTGTAAACAGAATAAGTCAATTTTTGTTGTAAAATCCTGCACTCGGCTCCACTTTTCTCATGTGTGACATTTTGTTGATGAGGGTCACGGTCAACAGTCAAAACCATCGTCCTTTAAGAGCGTTTGGAAAGAGACAAGTCTTCATTTGTGCTGCTCTGGTGGGAGGGGCCACGTACAGATACGCTGGTGGGAGGGGCCACGTACAGAGGCTCTGGTGGGAGGGGCCACATACAGAGGCTCTGGAGACGCAAAATTAACAACATTTTAATAGAAAATATCATTACAATATTTGAGTAGAAAATCAGCCGAGGGCCAGATTAAAGGAGGGCCGAATCTGGCCCCCGGGCCGTATGTTTGACACCTGTGCTCCAGAGGGTTTGTTACAGTTTTTATACCAGGATTTTTGAAATGTGCCGCCACAGAGTTGTTTGTCAGGGTCTGGGTCGGGGTGAGGTGATGTTCTTGTGGTGAGGTGATGTTCTTGTGGTGAGGTGATGTTCTTGTGTTGAGGTGATGTTCTTGTGTTGGGGTGAGGTGATGTTCTTGTGTTGGGTGAGGTGAGGTTCTTGTGGTGAGGTGATGTTCTTGTGGTGAGGTGAGGTGATGTTCTTGTGTTGGGGTGAGGTGAGGTTCTTGTGGTGAGGTGATGTTCTTGTGTTGAGGTGAGGTGATGTTCTTGTGGTGAGGTGATGTTCTTGTGGTGAGGTGATGTTCTTGTGGTCTTGTGGTGAGGTGTTCTTGTGTGTGAGGTGTTCTTGTGGTGAGGTGATGTTTCTTGTGGTGAGGTGATGTTCTTGTGGTGGGGTGAGGTGATGTGGGTGATTTTGTGGTGGGTGAGGTGATGTTCTTGTGGTGAGGTGATGTTCTTGTGTTGTGGTGAGGTATGTTTGTGTGAGTGTTTCTTGTGTGAGGTGATGTTTTCTTGTGGTGAGGTGATGTTTCTTTGTGGTGAGGATGTTCTTGTGTGAGGTGAGTGTGTTCTTGTGTGTGAGGTGAGGTGTGTTCTTGTGTGAGGTGATGTTCTTGTGTTGAGGTGTGTCTTGTGTTGTGGTGAGGTGATGTTCTTGTGGTGAGGTGATGTTCTTGTGTTGAGGTGAGGTGATGTTCTTGTGGTGAGGTGTGTTCTTGTGTTGTGGTGAGGTGATGTCTTGTGGGAGGTGATGTTCTTGTGGTGAGGTGATGTTCTTGTGGTGAGGTGATGTTCTTGTGGGTGAGGTGATGAGGTGTGTTGCTTGTGGTGAGGTGATGTTCTTGTGGTGAGGTGATGTTCTTGTGTTGTGAGGTGAGGTGATGTTCTTGTGTGGTGAGGTGATGTTCTTGTGTTGTGGTGAGGTGATGTTCTTGTGGTGAGGTGATGTTTTGTGTTGAGGTGTGTTTTGTGGTGAGGTGATGTCTTGTGGTGAGGTGATGTTCTTGTGGTGAGGTGAGGTGATGTTCTTGTGGTGAGGTGATGTTCTTGTGGTGAGGTGATGTTCTTGTGGTGAGGTGAGGTGATGTTCTTGTGGTGAGGTGATGTTCTTGTGGTGAGGTGAGGTGATGTTCTTGTGGTGAGGTGATGTTCTTGTGTTGAGGTGAGGTGATGTTCTTGTGGTGAGGTGATGTTCTTGTGGTGAGGTGATGTTCTTGTGGTGAGGTGATGTTCTTGTGGTGAGCTTGTGTGAGGTGATGTTCTTGTGGTGGTGAGGTGATGTTCTTGTGGGTGAGGTGATGTTCTTGTGGTGAGGTGATGTTCTTGTGGTGAGGTGATGTTCTTGTGGTGAGGTGATGTGTGAGGTGATGTTCTTGTGGTGAGGTGAGGTGAGGTGTTTCTTGTGGTGAGGTGATGTTCTTGTGGTGAGGTGATGTTCTTGTGTTGTGGTGAGGTGATGTTCTTGTGGTGAGGTGATGTTCTTGTGGTGAGGTGATGAGGTGAGGTGTTCTTGTGGTGAGGTGAGGTGAGGTGATCTTGTGTGTGTGAGGTGAGGTGATGTTCTTGTGTGAGGTGATGAGGTGATGTGTGATGAGGTGATGTTCTTGTGGTGAGGTGATGTTCTTGTGGTGAGGTGAGTTCTTGTGTCTTGTGGTGAGGTGATGTTCTTGTGGTGAGGTGAGGTGATGTCTTGTGGTGAGGTGGTTGATGTTCTTGTGAGGTGATGTTCTTGTGGTGAGGTGATGTTCTTGTGGTGAGGTGATGTTCTTGTGGTGAGGTGATGTTCTTCCAGACGTGCGTCTCACATAATCGAGACCACAGGGACGTCTGATCAGATCAGTAACAGATGAGGTGTGACCTGAGGTGTGACCTGAGGTGTGACCTGAGGTGTGACCTGAGGTGTGACCTGAGGTGTTCTGAGTGACGTCTCCACGTGTCTCAAGTGTTTCTCCACTGTCATGCTGTTTGTTTGTGTGTTTGTGTGTTTGTTTGTTTGTGTGTTTTGTTTGTGTGTTGTTTGTGTGTTTGTTTGTTTGTTGTGTTTGTTTGTGTGTTGTTTGTTTGTTGTTTGTTTGTGTGTTTGTTTGTTTGTTGTGTTTGTTTGTTTGTTTGTTTGTGTGTTTGTTTGTGTGTTTGTTTGTTTGTGTGTTTGTTTGTTTGTTTGTGTGTTTGTTTGTGTGTTTGTTTGTTTGTTGTTGTTTGTGTTGTTTGTTGTTTGTTGTTTGTTTGTGTGTTGTTTGTTTGTTTGTTTTGTGTTTGTGTTTGTTTGTTTGTTTGTTTGTTTGTTTGTTTGTTTTGTGTTGTTTGTTTGTGTGTTTGTTTGTGTTTGTTGTTTGTTTGTTTGTTTGTTTGTGTGTTTGTTGTGTGTTTGTTGTTTGTGTTGTGTTTTGTGTTGTGTGTTTGTTGTGTTTGTTTGTGTGTTGTGTGTTTGTTGTGTTGTGTGTTGTTTGTTGTTTGTTTGTTTGTGTGTTGTTTGTTTGTGTGTTTGTGTTGTTTGTTGTTTGTTTGTGTTGTTTGTTTGTTTGTTTTTGTGTGTTTTGTTGTGTGTGTTTTGTTGTGTGTGTGTTTGTTTGTTTGTTTGTTTTTGTTTGTGTTTGTTTGTGTTGTGTGTTTTGTTTGTTTGTTTGTGTGTTTGTTTGTTTGTTTGTTTGTGTTGTTTGTTTGTTTGTTTGTTTGTGTGTTTGTGTTGTTTGTTTGTTTGTGTGTTTGTTCTGTTTAAACACTGGACACAATCAGAACATTTATAATATTTTTTATTCACTTCTGGAAGATCAGGAAAGAGAAACTTTCATCTGGTGGAGGCAAAGATTTAACAAACTGATCCCTGAGATACAGATCCACTAAACCAGGACTAAACCAGGTCTAAACCAGGACTAAACCAGGTCTAAACCAGGACTAAACCAGGTCTAAACAGGTCTAAACCAGGACTAAACCAGAAAAAACCAGGACTAAACCAGGACTAAACCAGGACTAAACCAGGTCTAAACCAGGACTAAACCAGGTCTAAACCAGGTCTAAACCAGGTCTAAACCAGGACTAAACCAGGACTAAACCAGGTCTAAACCAGGTCTAAACCAAACCAGGTCTAAACCAGGTCTAAACCAGGACTAAACCAGGACTAAACCAGGTCTAAACCAGGTCTAAACCAGGACCAGGACTAAACAGGTCTAAACCAGGTCTAAACCAGGTCTAAACCAGGACTAGAATAAACTAAACCAGGAAACTAAACCAGGACTAAACCAGGACTCTAAACCTAAACCAGGACTAAACCAGGTCTAAACCAGGACTAAACCAGGACTAAACCAGGTAAACTAAACCAGGACTAAACCTAAACCAGGTCTAAACCAGGACTAAACCAGGTCTAAACCAGGTCCTAAACCAGGTCTAAACCAGGTCTAAACCAGGTAAACCAGGTCTAAACCAGGACTAAACCAGGTCTAAACCAGGACTAAACCAGGTCCTAAACCAGGACTAAACCAGGACTAAACCAGGTAAACCAGGTCTAAACCAGGACTAAAACCAGGTCTAAACCAGGTCTAAACCAGGACTAAACAGTCTAAACCAGGTCTAAACCAGGACTAAACCAGGTCTAAACCAGGAGGTCTAAACCAGGACTAAACCAGTCTAAACCAGGTTCTAAACCAGGTCTAAACCAGGTCTAAACCAGGACTAAACCAGGTCTAAACCAGGTCTAAACCAGGACTAAACCAGGACTAAACCAGGTCTAAACCAGGTCTAAACAGGACTAGGTCTAAACCAGGTCTAAACCAGGTCTAAACCAGGTCTAAACCAGGACTAAACCAGGTCTAAACCAGGTAAACCAGGACTAAACTAAACCAGGACTAAACCAGGACTAAACCAGGTCTAAACTAAACCAGGACTTAAACCAGGTCTAAACCAGGTCTAAACCAGGACTAAACCAGGACTAAACCAGGTCTAAACCAGGACTAAACCAGGACTAAAAAACCAGGTCTAAACCAGGACTAAACCAGACTAAACCAGGTCTAAACCAGGAACTAAACCAGGACTAAACCAGGACTAAACCAGGTCTAAACCAGGTCTAAACCAGGACTAAACCAGACTAAACCAGGTCTAAACCAGGACTAAACCAGGTCTAAAACCAGGAAACAGGACTAAACCAGGACTAAAACCAGGAAATAAACCAGGACTAAACCAGGACTAAACCAGGTCTAAACCAGGACTAAACCAGGACTAAACCAGGTCTAAACCAGGTCTAAACCAGGACTAAACCAGGTCTAAACCAGGTCCAGGTCTAAAACCAGGTCTAAACCAGGACTAAACCAGGACTAAACCAGACTAAACCAGGACTAAACCAGGACTAAACCAGGACTAAACCAGGACTAAACCAGACTAAACCAGGACTAAACCAGGACTAAACCAGGACTAAACCAGGACTAAACCAGGTCTAAACCAGGACTAAACCAGGACTAAACCAGAAATAAACCAGGACTAAACCAGAAATAAACCAGGTCTAAACCAGGACTAAACCAGGTCTAAACCAGGTCTAAACCAGGACTAAACCAGGACTAAACCAGGACTAAACCAGGACTAATCCAGGTCTGGTCTGTTTTGCAGGGAAACAGCTGCTGCCTCTGTCCTGCAGTCTGCACAGTCAGCTCTCATCTGAACCAGGACCCGGACCAGGACCGGGACCAGAGGGGGACCTGCTGAGGATGAGAGGACACACTCTGGGACAGTCTGCCCCCTCTCTGACCACTCTGGTACTGCACCTGCTCCAGAACCAGGACTAAACCAGGACTAAACCAGGACTGAACCAGGACTGAACCAGGACTAAACCAGGACTAAACCAGGACTAAACCAGGACTGAACCAGGACTGAACCAGGTCTAAACCAGGTCTAAACCAGGACTAAACCAGGACTAAACCAGGACTAAACCAGGTCTAAACCAGGAAACCAGACTAAACCAGGACTGAACCAGGACTAAACCAGGACTAACCAGGACTAAACCAGGACTAAACCAGGACTGAACCAGGACTAAACCAGGTCTAAACCAGGACTAAACCAGACTAAACCAGGACTGAACCAGGACTGAAACCAGGTCTAAACCAGGAAACCAGGTAAACCAGGCTAAACCAGGACTAAACCAGGACTAAACCAGGACTAAACCAGGACTAAACCAGGACTGACTCAGTGAGATACAGATATGTTCAAAACAGTTGGTTTTCTCTGGTAATGAAAGAAAAATCAACAATTTTCACTGAAATAACTTGAAACTGAGAAAAACAATAATAAATAAAAATGTCCTGAAAAATAACCAATAAAAAAATCAGACACTGTTGTTGATTTGTTGTTCAACTGAATTATTTAAAAAAAACAAACTAATGAAAGTGTCCTGGACAAACATGATGTTCCTCTAGAAGAGACTGTAAACAGTTGGACAACATGGACATGTTAAAGTTCAGTTCAGTGTGTCTCTGATCTTCATCACAGGTTCTTCACACTCGTCAGTCTCAGTCAGTGTGTCTGTTTAAAGGGCCACATGTGTCATTGTGTTTGGAAACAAGATGGACACAACACTGAACATGGACCAGAGAAAGAGAAGAAGACAACTGTGTCACACAGAGACCAGAAAGAACATGAGAGACGAGCAGGTTCAAGATAAAGACAATAAGACCATCTCCAAGCAGCGTGATGTTCCTGTGATTACACTTCCACATGTTCTTCAGAAGTTTAAGGTCCACAGGACTGAAGACAACCTCCCTGGACGCGACCGCAAGAGGAAAACTGACGACAAACTGAAGAGACGGAATCATACGAACGGAACCAAAGACCCAGAACAACCTCCAAACAAATGAAACGTGAAGTTGAAGGACGAGGAACATCAGTGTCAGATCACACCGTCCATCAGTGTTTGAGCCAAAGTGACTTCATGTGAGGACACCACTGCTGAGAGAACATCATCAGAAAGTGACACTGGAGTTTGTCACGATGCAGATGGACCAACCACAAAACTTCTGGGAGAATGTTCTTTGGACAGATGAGACAAAACTGAAGCTCTTTGGCAAGACACATCAGCTCTATGTTCACAGACGCAAACATGAAGCAGACCAAGAAAAGAACACTGTCTCTACTGTGAAGCACGGAGGAGGTTTGGTTTGGTTCTGGGGCTGTTCTGCTGCGTCAGGCTCAGGGCGTCTTGAATCTGTGAAAAATACAACAGAATCTCAAAACTATCAAAGTGTTTTGGAACAAAATGTGTCGCCTCGTGTCAGAAAGTTTGATCTCAGTCGTAGGTCACGAGTCTTCAACAGGAAAATGACCCAAAACACACGAAAAAACACACGAGAACGACTAAGAACAAAACACTGGACTGTTCTGGAGGGTTCTTCTGTTCTGGAGGGTTCTTCTGTTCTGGAGTGTTCTTCTGTTCTGGAGGGTTCTTCTGTTCTGGACTGTTCTTCTGTTCTGGAGGGTTCTTCTGTTCTGGAGTTCTTCTGTTCTGGACTGTTCTTCTGTTCTGGAGGGTTCTTCTGTTCTGTTCTGGAGTGTTCTGGAGTCTGTTCTGGAGTGTTCTTCTGTTCTGGAGGGTTCTGTTCTTCTGTTCTGGGAGCTTCTGTTCTGGAAACATGCGTCTGGAGAAGGAACCTTCAAACCTGAGACTAGAACAGTTTGTTCTCGTGGATCAAAATCCCAGTTGTCCAGAGCAGAAGTTTCACTGACAGTTACACACATCATTTGTTTTTAGAGTTTGTCTCAAAAGTTTGTAACAAAATATTAAGTTAAAAGAACCATCATTTTTGTCCAGAACAGTTTCAGTAGTTCTTCTTCTTCTTCTCCTTCTTCTTCTTCTTCTCCTTCTCCTTCTTCTTCTTCTCCTCCTCCTTCCTTCTCCTTCTTCTCCTTCTTCTTCTTCTCCTTCTTCTCCTTCTCCTTCTTCTTCTCCTTCCTTCTTCTCCTTCTCCTTCTTCTTCTCCTCCTCCTTCTTCTCCTTCTTCTTCTCCTCCTTCTTCTCCTTCTCTCACTTGTGTGTCTTGTTTTTCAGAAGGAGTTGTCGTTGCCGCACAGAGGAAGTTTGTGAGTACTCACTTTCCCACAATACCCTGCTTCAGCCTCAGAGTGTGTGTGTGTGTGTGTCTGTGTGTCACTGCCGCTGTGTCCTTGGCCCAAACACTTTCAGACTCTGACCCCGTGTGACCTCTGTGCGAGCAGAAGAGGTGAAAGGTCAGAGGTCACCAGGGTCTGAACAGCTGAAGGGTCTGAAACCCTGAAACCCTGAAACCCTGAAACCCTGAAACCCGACCAGGATCAACACAAGGTCTATTTTTAAACCAGGCCCAGAGCATTGTTCCACACACAAACACAGACCTGATTTAGACCTGGTTTAGACCTGGTTTAGACCTGGTTTAGTCCTGGTTTAGTCCTGGTTTAGTCCAGGTTCGTGTCTTTAAAGTTTTGTTTCTTATGGAATTAAGAAGTTAAATATCAGAAATCGTATCAGTCCCTGAATGTGTGTGTCAGGTGCGGTCCTGTCTGTCAGGTGCAGGCGTGTGTGTCAGGTGTGGTCCTGTCAGTCAGGTACGGTCCTGTCAGTCAGGTGCAGGCGTGTGTGTCAGGTGCGGTCCTGTCAGTCAGGTGCAGGCGTGTGTGTCAGGTGCGGTCCTGTCAGTCAGGTGCAGGCGTGTGTGTCAGGTGCGGTCCTGTCAGTCAGGTGCAGGCGTGTGTGTCAGGTGCGGTCCTGTCAGTCAGGTGCAGGCGTGTGTGTCAGGTGCGGTCCTGTCAGTCAGGTGCAGGCGTGTGTGTGTCAGGTGCGGTGGTCCTGTCAGTCAGGTGCAGGCGTGTGTGTCAGGTGCGGTCCTGTCAGTCAGGTGCAGGTGTGTGTGTCAGGTGCGGTCCTGTCAGTCAGGTGCAGGCGTGTGTGCAGGTGTTCAGTGCGTCCTGTCAGTCAGGTGCAGGCGTGTGTGTCAGGTGCGGTCCTGTCAGTCAGGTGCAGGCGTGTGTGTCAGGTGCGGTCCTGTCAGTCAGGTGCAGGCGTGTCGTGAGGCGTCGTGTTTCTTCGTTGGGCTGAGTCGTTCTTCAGGCGAGTCGGGACTCGACTTTCAAACTGAATTCTTACGCAACTCGTTATAAAATGTGAGAAAAGTCAAATCAAAAACAGTTTTAAAAATCTAAAGTTTGAGGAAAATTGTGGATTTTGAAAGAATCCAGAATCTTTTTGAGTCCGAGTCATTTTCTAAACTCGTTTAGTTTCGGTGGAAGTGTTTTTCTCTCGGGGCTTTTGTGAACGTTTTGTCCCAGGAATAGAGTCTGAGTCCTGGGCCCCTCCCCCTGCCCCCACACGCCCCTGCCGTCCCTGCTGTCCCGCCCCTGCCGCCCCTGTCGTCCCTGTCGTCCCTGTCAGTCTATTATCAGCTCCAGATAAGCCTTGTGTCTCTCAGGCTTCCAGGAACAACAGGCACACGCGGCTCAGGCTGTGCCCAGGCACGGAGCTCTAATCCTGGGCACAAACTTTGATCCAGGCCCCTGTCACTCTGGAAGTGCGGAGGGCGACGTCAGGCACCACTCACCCCACAATCCAACACTTTCTCTGGGTACAAAGCGTTTGTGTGCGGCCAGGTCACGCGGCTCGATGTCTGCCCAGGACAGGAGCGCTGTTTCTGGGCACGAGCGTTCGTCTGGTCCCTGCTCCTGTCGGACGTGTGACGGGCGACGCGGCAGAGGCTTTACCCGCCGGACGAGCTCTGGTCCCGGGCACGGACTGTGACCCTCAGGGGCCCGAGGCTCCGGCTCCGTCCGGGAGAGGAGCACTTTGTCTGGACAGACTCCGGCAGAGCTCCAGACCCTCTGGACGAGACATGGACCATGTTCTTTTACCCGAGGACGAGGCTCCGTTTGTGGACGCGGACTCCAGAGGAGCTCCCTGAACCTCCACAGCTCCGACCCGACCAGACGACACACGTCTCGGGCACACGTCCCGGGCACACGTCCCGGGCACACGTCCCGGGTGGACATTCAGACTCACAGGTCACGTGATCGTTCTGTCATAAAGTAAAAGGATGAAGAGGAGGAAGGAACGCTGCTCCTCAAACCTGCGGCTGCTGTAAGAACTTTGACCTGCTGCTCCTGAGGTCCCCTGGCGGCCCCTGGCGGCCCCTGGCGGCCTGTGTTCTACTGAGTTACTGAGCTGAAAATAACCTTTGACCTCTGACCCCGGCGTCCTGAGCGTTTCGGTTCTGTGGCGTTTAGGTTCTGTGGCGTTTACGGTTTAAAGAGGAACGTCCTGCAGGTTCCTCATCACAAACACGGCCTTTTCAAACCCTCCTCAGGGTTAGAGGTACGAGCCTGTACGAGGCTCCGCCCACTCTGAAGGGGGAGTGAGTCAGCGCGGGGAGAAAAGGGAGGGGAGACCCAGAGCACCAAGAACCAAAGTGAAACTTCTAGAATCTGTTGTTTTGTTCCGTCTCATTGGCTCAAACCGTTCCTCGTGTTCCTCGTGTCGTGTTCCTCGTGTTCTTCGTGTTCCTCGTGTTCTTCGAGTTCTTCGTGTTCCTCGTGTTCCTCGTGCTCCTCGTGTTCTTCGTGTTCCTCGTGTTCCTCGTGTTCCTCGTGTTCCTCGTGTTCCTCGTGTTCCTCGTGTTCTCGTGTTCCTCGTGTTCCTCGTGTTCCTTCTTCGTGTTCCTCGTGTTCCTCGTGTTCCTCGTGTTCCTCGTGTTCCTCGTGTTCCTCGTGTTCCTCGTGTTCGTGTTCTTCGTGTTCCTCGTGTTCCTTCGTGTTCCTCGTGTTCTCGTCGTGTTCCTCGTCGTGTTCCTCGTGTTCCTCGTGTTCTCGTGTTCCTCGTGTTCCTCGTGTTCCTCGTGTTCTCGTGTTCTCGTGTTCCTCGTGTTCCTCGTGTTCCTCGTGTTCCTCGTGCTCCTCGTGTTCCTCGTGTTCTTCGTGTTCCTCGTGTTCTTCGTGTTCCTCGTGTTCCTCGTGTTCCTCGTCGTCTTCGTGTTCCTCGTGTTCCTTCGTGTTCCTCGTGTTCCGTGTTCGTGTTCTCGTGTTCCTCGTGTTCTTCTGCGTGTTCTTCGTGTTCCTCGTGTTCTTCTGCGTGTTCCTCGTGTTCCTCGTGTTCTTCTGCGTGTTCCTCGTGTTCCTCGTGTTCTTCGTGTTCCTCGTCGTGTTCCTCGTGTTCCTCGTGTTCTTCGTGTTCCTCGTGTTCCTCGTGTTCCTCGTGTTCTTCGTCGTGTTCCTCGTGTTCTTCGTGTTCCTCGTGTTCCTCGTGTTCCTCGTGTTCTTCGTGTTCCTCGTGTTCTTCGTGTTCCTCGTGTTCTTCGTGTTCCTCGTGTTCTTTCCTCGTGTTCCTCGTGTTCCTCGTGTTCTTCGTGTTCCTCGTGTTCCTCGTGTTCTTCGTGTTCCTCGTGTTCTTCGTGTTCCTCGTGTTCCTCGTGTTCTTCTGCGTGTTCCTCGTGTTCCTCGTGTTCCTCGTGTTCTTCTGCGTGTTCCTCGTGTTCCTCGTGTTCTTCTGCGTGTTCCTCGTGTTCCTCGTGTTCTTCGTGTTCTCGTGTTCTTCGTGTTCCTCGTGTTCCTCGTGTTCCTCGTGTTCTTCGTGTTCCTGTTCCTCGTGTTCTTCGTGTTCCTCGTGTTCCTCGTGTTCCTCGTGTTCCTCGTGTTCTTCGTGTTCCTTCGTGTTCCTCGTGTTCCTCGTGTTCTTCGTGTTCCTCGTGTTCCTCGTGTTCTTCGTGTTCCTCGTGTTCCTCGTGTTCCTCGTGTTCCTCGTGTTCCTCGTGTTCTCGTCGTGTTCTTCGTGTTCTTCGTGTTCCTCGTGTTCCTCGTGTTCCTCGTGTTCCTCGTGTTCTCGTGTTCTTCGTGTTCCTCGTGTTCCTCGTGTTCTTCGTGTTCCTCGTGTTCCTCGTGTTCCTCGTGTTCCTCGTGTTCCTCGTGTTCCTCGTGTTCCTCGTGTTCCTCGTGTTCCTTGTTCGTGTTCCTCGTGCGTGTTCCTCGTGTTCCTCGTGTTCTCGTGTTCTTCGTGTTCTTCGTCCTCGTGTTCTTCGTGTTCCTCGTGTTCCTCGTGTTCCTCGTGTTCCTCGTGTTCTTCCTCGTGTTCCTCGTTTCCTCGTGTTCCTCCTCGTGTTCCTCGTGTTCCTCGTGTTCTTCGTGTTCTCGTGTTCCTCGTGTTCTTCTCGTGTTCCTCGTGTTCCTCGTGTTCGTGTTCTCGTCGTGTTCCTCGTGTTCTCGTCGTGTTCCTCGTGTTCCTCGTCGTGTTCCTCGTGTTCCTTCGTGTTCCTCGTGTTCCTCGTGTGTGTTCCGTCGTGTTCTTCGTGTTCGTGTCGTGTTCCTCGTGTTCTTCGTGTTCGTGTTCCTCGTGTTCGTGTTCCTCGTGTTCCTCGTGTTCGGCGCCGTTTTGTTTCATAGACAAATATTGAGATTTAAAATGTCTACGAGGTCAGAGGTCAAAACTACACAGACCTCAGTAAAACGTGTGTGTGTGTGTGTCTGTGTGTGTGTCTGTGTGTGTGTGTGTGTATGTGTGTGTGTGTGTGTGTGTGTGTCTGTGTGTGTGTGTGTGTGTCTGTGTGTGTGTGTGTGTGTCTGTGTGTGTGTGTGTGTGTGTGCTGTGTGTGTGTGTGTGTGTGTCTGTGTGTGTGTGTCTGTGTGTGTGTGTGTGTGTGTCTGTGTGTGTGTGTGTGTGTGTGTGTCTGTGTGTGTGTGTCTGTGTGTGTGTGTGTCTGTGTGTGTGTGTCTGTGTGTGTGTGTGTGTGTGTGTGTGTGTCTGTGTGTGTATGTGTGTGTGTGTGTCTGTGTGTGTGTGCGTGTTGAACTTCAGAATCCTTAGCCCCGCCCCCCTGAGGTCCTCTCTCTCCCCCTCTGCGAGCCCCTTCGATCGCCCGCTGTCCGCCCCTGCGCACCTGCGAGGAAACCCCTTCCTGTGGAGGTAAGCCCCGCCCTCCCGGACTCACCTGAGCGTGTGTGTGTGAGGTAAGCCCCGCCCTCCCGGACTCACCTGAGCGTGTGTGTGTGAGGTGGCCCCGCCCCCGGACTCACCGTGTGTGTGACTCACTCACCTGAGCGTGTGTGTGTGAGGTGGCCCCGCCCTCCCGGACTCACCTGAGCGTGTGTGTGTGAGGTGGCCCCGCCCTCCCGGACTCACCTGAGCGTGTGTGTGTGAGGTGGCCCCGCCCTCCCGGACTCACCTGAGCGTGTGTGTGTGAGGTGGCCCCGCCCTCCCGGACTCACCTGAGCGTGTGTGTGAGGTGGCGTGCTGTGATTGGTCGCTCAGTAAAGTGCCCTCTGGTGTTTAAAGCGGCGACGTCACGGCACCTGATGAGTCGTGATCCAATGAAAATCAGGAAATCACAAAAGCGACCAGAACAGAATCATCAAACCTCCCCGTGTGTCAGGTGCCCTCCCCGTGTGTCAGGTGCCCTCCTCGTGTGTCAGGTGCCCTCCCCGTGTGTCAGGTGCCCTCCCCGTGTGTCAGGTGCCCTCCCCGTGTGTCAGGTGCCCTCCTCGTGTGTCAGGTGCCCTCCTCCGTGTGTCAGGTGCCCTCCCCGTGTGTCAGGTGCCCTCCCCGTGTGTCAGGTGCCCTCCCGTGTGTCAGGTGCCGTGTGTCAGGTGCCCTCCCCGTGTGTCAGGTGCCCTCCCCGTGTGTCAGGTGCCCTCCTCGTGTGTCAGGTGCCCTCCTCGTGTGTCAGGTGCCCTCACAGCTGACACAGAAGTGTTTTGCCCAAGGACAGCTCTACCTTGTGTGTGACTGTGTGTTTTTCCTCAACATCGTGTGTGTGTGTTTGTGTGTATGTGTGTGTGTGTGTGTGTTGTTTTAAACATCGTGTGTGTGTGTGTGTGTGTCCGTGTGTGTGTGTGTTGTTTTAAACATCATGTGTGTATGTTTCAGTTGTCGCAGTAACAGGAAGAGCCTCATCGTGTCCAGCACCTCCCCCACTCTGCCCCGCCCACACTCACCTCTGCACACAGGTAACCCCGCCCACACACAGGTAACCCCACCCACACTCACCTCTGCACACAGATAACCCCGCCCACACACAGGTGACCCCGCCCACACACAGGTGACCCCGCCCACACACAGGTGATGCCATGATGTTAAAATCCTTTAGACAATAGAACATGATTTTCACCCCCAGAGAAAGTTCAGTCCATTCCAAATGATAATGTTCCTCTCATGTTCCTCTCATGTTCTTCCCATGTTCTTCTCATGTTCCTCTCATGTTCTTCTCATGTTCCTCTCATGTTCCTCTCATGTTCTTCTCATGTTCTTCTCATGTTCCTCTCATGTTCTTCTCATGTTCTTCTCATGTTCTTCTCATGTTCTTCTCATGTTCTTCTCATGTTCTTCTCATGTTCCTCTCATGTTCCTCTCATGTTCTTCTCATGTTCTTCTCATGTTCTTCTCATGTTCTTCCCATGTTCTTCTCATGTTCTTCTCATGTTCTTCTCATGTTCCTCTCATGTTCTTCTCATGTTCTTCTCATGTTCTTCTCATGTTCTTCCCATGTTCTTCTCATGTTCTTCTCATGTTCCTCTCATGTTCCTCCCATGTTCCTCTCATGTTCTTCTCATGTTCTTCTCATGTTCTTCCCATGTTCTTCCCATGTTCTTCTCATGTTCTTCTCATGTTCCTCTCATGTTCCTCTCATGTTCCTCTCATGTTCCCCTCATGTTCCTCTCATGTTCTTCTCATGTTCCTCTCATGTTCCTCTCATGTTCTTCTCACGTTCCTCTCACGTTCCTCTCATGTTCTTCTCACGTTCTTCTCATGTTCTTCTCACGTTCCTCTCATGTTCTTCTCATGTTCTTCCCATGTTCTTCTCATGTTCTTCTCATGTTCTTCTCATGTTCCTCTCATGTTCTTCTCATGTTCTTCTCGTACCTCAGGTCCCAGTCCTCTGGACAGTCCTCGGACCTTCTCCCCAAATGCTGCTGCTCTCTTCTCCTTCGCTCCACCCAGAAGGTCAGAGCACTCTGACACATGTAGACCTGGTTTAGTTTTGGTTTAGTCCTGCTTTAGTCCTGGTTTAGACCTGGTTTAGTCCTGGTTTAGTCCTGGTTTAGACCTGGTTTAGACCTGGTTTAGTCCTGGTTTAGTCTTTGATGATGTCTTGTGTTTCTCTGCAGCGTCGGGCACCGAGCAGACAGGTAACTCCGCCCCCAACTCACCTGTGTGACCTGAGTGTGACCTGAGTGTGACCTGAGTGTGACCTGAGTGTGATCTGAGTGTGATCTGAGTGTGACCTGAGTGTGACCTGAGTGAGAGGGGTGTTCTCTCTGTGTCAGAGGGGTGTTCTCTCTGTGTCAGAGGGGTGTTCTCTCTGTGTGACAGAGGGTGTTCTCTCTGTGTCAGAGGGGTGTTCTCTCTGTGTGACAGAGGGGTGTTCTCTCTGTGTGACAGAGGGTGTTCTCTCTGTGTGACAGAGGGGTGTGTGTCTCTCTGTGACAGAGGGGTGTTCTCTCTGTGTGACAGAGGGTGTTCTCTCTGTGACAGAGGGGTGTTCTCTCTGTGACAGAGGGGTGTTCTCTCTGTGTGACAGAGGGGTGTTCTCTCTGTGACAGAGGGGTGTTCTCTCTGTTCTCTGTGTGTGTCAGAGGGGTGTTCTCTCTGTGTGACAGAGGGGTGTTCTCTCTGTGTCAGAGGGGTTCTCTCAGAGGGGTGTTCTCTCTGTGTGACAGAGGGGTGTTCTCTCTGTCTGTGACAGAGGGGTGTTCTCTCTGTGACAGAGGGGTGTTCTCTCTGTGACAGAGGGGTGTTCTCTCTGTGTGTGACAGAGGGGTGTTCTCTCTGTGACAGAGGGGTGTTCTCTCTGTGTGTCAGAGGGGTGTTCTCTCTGTGTGTCAGAGGGGTGTTCTCTCTGTGACAG